CTATTTCTATCTTCACTTTCATTTCTTAAAAAGATTATTCAGCTAAGTATTTAGGGTGGAGTGGGGGTTAAGAAAAGAGACATATAAGTAACCTTGCACTACTCTAAAAAGAATTCAAGCTTAGTTGGACAACTAGCACTAGGCTCAAATGTCTGCCTTGCATCTATGTCTACTTCTACTTTGTACTATTATTAATAATGCAATTTTAATATTTTCTGTAGAGGTAAGTCAAGCTTCAGATAAAATTTAATCAGAAGGAGACCCTGATAACAGAGCAAGACAGTGCCCCAATCACCAGAAAAGATTCTGTCTATGTAGAGTCAAGGCTAAGTAAACCCAAGTGATTTCATCAGCAAAATGCTACAGAAACTGATCATACCACCTCAGTGGGAGATCTCAGAACTGATTCCTCACAAACATGGAGTTCACCACCCTAGGTAGAGCCACTGGACATCAGCTGTCTGATGTAATAAGGGAGGAAAAATAAAAACACTTCGCCTCCTTTTATAGTCAGGGTATAGGTTAAACATAGGCATGTATCCAAGGTTGGTTGGATTTGCTTCTAGACTTCTTACACCAGTGCTCCAGGTGTGGTTTCTGGTGCTTCACCTCCCAAAGGCCTCAGTAAACAGTCACCATCCAGGATTGGACCTTGGGAAGAGGCCACATAGGGACAATAACATCCAGTGCATAGTTTATTTCCTGCCAGCCACTTATAAGATGCTGAGCAGAACTGCTCATCAGAGTTGGAAAATCCCCAAGTCCTCTCTAAAACCAGTTGGGCCCATTAGGGGCAGACCATCCAGATCAGTCCCACCACCTTACGGAGATCCAGGAGGCTACCAACTGGAACTTGACTAGAGCATGATCTGACCGTGGCATTAGGATGATGGAAATTCCCTCCACTTCCAGTTCCTATAACAATTGCTTGGAGACAAAAACAAGATCCCAAGTATGACCCCCACATGTGTTGACGCTGAAATGACCTGAAACAACCCATAGTTGCTATTGAGGACATGAACTCAACTTTTACCCATACCAGTCCTGGAAGCTGACAAATTGAAGTTACCCAGCACCAAAATACATGGTGCTCCACTACAACCCCAATACCATATAAAGCAGAGAAGGAACCTGCTGGGCACCAGATTGGTCAGGTCACATACAAGACTCTCTACAGTCCAGCATCAGAAATAGGCTTCCATATCCAGATATCCTCACAGAAGTGTCCCTGGTCATGGTCAAGGTCTCTCTTATGATCATAACTAGCCTCTCCAAGGTTATTCCTCAATAACCATCCTTCCTTCAACCATGGATATCAGGGCAAGGCTAAAACTGATACCATCATTATTCTTCATGGAACAATTTAATGCCTGAAACAATTACTTTTTGAAATAGTCAATCTGAAGTGAGTCCAAATTCAGTAATGAAACTTAAACTGTTCTGAATTCAACTGGTATATTTTTGTCAGTCTGCAGCACTGAAAAGTAATTGGATATATTTCACATTTTAATACTGTAACTGCCTTATTGTAATGAAATCAGTATACAACATTGTCCATTAACAATGTGTCCAGCTGCTTACACAGAGTAAAGTTAATAATTTCTAGGCAAGAGAATAAATGGTCAGTTACAACAGGTGGCAAAACCAGTAGCAAGCATTTTAGACTTCAAAGACTCTTAGTTCCCGACTGGAAAGTCTTCACATTTAAAACAAAAATATTTTTGAAAGGAATATTGAATATGAAATTTATGAACTGCAACATATCGTAACACTTGATTTTGTATTTTTCATACACACACACAC